TTGACCCGAAGAAAGGACTGGTTTGGGAAGGTGATCCAGTTGATAATATCAAATCCACCAACGAATTCTCCATTTCTGTCAAATGAAATATTTTCACCAACGCTGTTGTTGAATGAGATGCTTCTCAGAAATGAATGAATCTAAAGTAGAGAAATTGATAGCATCAATGAAGCAATGAGCAAGAAACCGAGCAAACTCAGGGGGGCAGTGAAGGACAGGAAGGCCGGGCGCAATATGGTTCACGGGGTCACGAAGAGTCGGACACGACTTAACGACTAAACAACAACAAAGTACAGAAAGGGAGGGAGGGAGGGAAACATTTGTAAGGGATGGTTGTTTCTACACTTTTGACAATCATTGTCAGGATAATTTATATTGATGACATGTTCCATCCCATTAGCTCATCGCTCTGTCAATTCATTCAAGACCTTTAGGGGTGGTAATAAGGTAAACATCCCTCCCGTTGCACATGAAGAAACCACCCTAAGCACACTTCTTGATTTGAAATGATCAGATGAATCTATAAATTACAATCTCAAGATGTGGTTTTGTTTTATTTTTTGTAGCATTCTCTCCCGTTTACCTGCCCATTTCCCAATGGAAAAGAGTAGCAACTAGTACAACAGTCAGAGAATGTAATAGGAACACATTCAATATATTTTACCTTTCATTCCTGAATAAAATTTACAGTATAATGGATCTGAGTTACAGAAAGATATTCTTATTTAATTTTAGAAAAAAAATGTAATGTAAAAGAGAACTTTCTAAAATAATTTTCTAAGATCTTACTTGCCACAATTCTTGATTCTGAAACTGTTCCCTTCCTTCTTTTACTCTTGTTCTTTTCCTGGATTTGGATAAATACATAGATTGCAAAGCATGTGCCACAGCGTATACTGCATTGTAAGTATTGCAGCTCTGGCCTCTCATGTGTGATTCAAACACATTAGTAGGAAGGGCTATAAGTTTTTCCTCTCCTGTACACTTTCTCTCAGATGGCATCTCTGTTTTAGAGCTGGGAAAGAAACAGTTGAATGCCTGTTCCCAGAAATCATTCCTAAAATGGTCATGCTGGTTATTGATTGGATTTATGCTTTCAAGAAATTCCTGGAAGCCTTGGACCTTCTTTGTGTGAACTGCAAAGGATAAAGCACCTTTCAGGAAATGGATGTCCCATGATCTGTGAAGGGAAACTGAAGTGTAATCCGTCTGAGCTGTTGTAACCCAGATTTTTGCCTTCTTTGGTGCATCTTCCACTTCAGAAAACTGGAGGAACATTCTCAAAGCTGATATGGACTGAATTTCACTGTACAAGACAATCACATTGGCTGTGCTGTTCATGACAACTTGGTACAGTTGGAGTCCTTCATCCATCACATCAATAAAGTCACTGTAAAAAGCTACATTTGGGAACTTTGATATGAAATCAAAGCAGATGCCATGCTGGGAAAAGATGGGGAGCACATCCTGTACAAATTTCTCTCCGTTGTCATCATTCACAGCAAGAACACCAATCCATGTCCACCTTAAGTAGAGCAATAGCTGGAGGAGGCCCTTATGTTGGTGGGATTCATCTGGAAACATTTGCTGGACGAAAACAGCTTGAGTTGCTTTATCCATGACTGGAGCAGAGCCATATGTCAGCTAAAGAAAGCAAAAACATATGCAATAGAGAAGGTCCGTGTGAGTCTACCAAAATCTACATATATGTTTGCATTTTGTGTATTCTTCAGCTTCAGTTGTGAAATATTTTCCAAATCTTACTTGCTTATTCCTAAGCTTCACCTGAAATTCAGCCCAGCTTTTCTTTTAGGGATATGCTTTGAGGGAAAATCTCAAGTCTCATCATTCACAAGAAATGTTAAAATGACCTTTTTGGAAAAGGAAAGGCTAAACCTGAACCTTAATTTATTCTGTGGCACTGGAGAATATTAACATTCGTCAAGCATATCCACTATCAGAGTATCAAAGTTATCCATACTCATGATTCTGTGCTAATCCACTCCAGCATTAATGAATGTCCAGGGATCCCCAACCTCTCTCCTTTCTACCTCATCCAAATTTTCCAGAGCATCCCAGAGACACTATTGGCTGAGAGAAAGAAGCACCAAGGCACTCTTACCATGGAAACCTATCCAAGACAAATGTCCTGTTTTTTCCCCCAGCTTGCATCCCACTTTAAGGGGCCAGAACTGTATGTGTCTCTCCTGGAGGAATAAACAGTGCTGCTGTAACAGTAGGAAAGGGAAATTTCCAAGGTCTAGAATTTGAAGTTACTTTTACCAGGAAGGGTAGGATATGGAATCCCAGAGCTCTGACTTGCTGGCTTCATACGTTGTATGTATGTATGTATGTATGTATACATGTATTTATTTATTTATTATATTTTGCAATATCCAACCAGGTTACTATTGCACTCCTTCTGCTATTTAATTTAATGGGATGCTTAGGAAACCTGATTTCCTGATTTCAAAATACAACTTGATCTTCAGCAAATATTTCTGTCTCCAATTTGAAGCCTCCTCACATCCTCATTCAGTCAATGTTTGTAAACTCCTTTTTTCTATTTTTGATTACTTATTACTTTGTATTTGGAATCTAAAACTGTATTGTCAGTTTGCCCCCATTAGAGTATTAGAAATTGAGGTACTTTTGTTATTTGCCAAAGTAATTGATTCACTTCTTTGATTCTATGTTTTTAATCTATGGTAATAAATATTGAATTGCAAGAAAAGGCTGATTGTGGGTTCAATTCATCAACATGGACCATTTGCCATCATTAAGGTTTCCTCAATGAGTACCTATCAGATGGCTGAATAGAGTATGAACTATCCTGATTGTGTTAAGTAGCTTTATGGGCTTGTCCAGGAAGTGGCATACATTTTCAGCATACCTGAGGCACTTTGTAAATGCATAGTAGCGTTGCCATGTGGAGACAGATGTCAGGTCCCACAATGACTGCAGCCAGATGCTTTGGAACCCCACACTTGTAGTTAGGGACGAATCTGATCTGGGTGAAGAGAAGCTCCATTGAGGCAAGGTAAGTCCAACTTGGACTGAAATTGCTATTATAAATGTGGAAGCCAAGCGTGACATTGGGTAGGATGTGGTTATTTTCATTGATCTCCTTGAGAGCAAACACAATGGCCAGGATCTGCTGGTAACTCTGAAACAATGTTCTGAAACAAAAATTACATTAAGAGGCATCTGCTTATGATTATGGCATTTGTAATATTTCTGTACCATAATTTGTTGGTGTATTTTAGTGCAGTATATTTAGTATTCAGTCATGATCCTAGAATTGGCATAGCAAAATGGAAGCACGTATGTACCACTCCAGAACTCTCTCTCTCTCTCTCTCTCTCTTTCTCTCTCTCTCTCTCTCTTTCTTTAATGCAAGACGAACACAGGCTTGAGGTTGGAAGCATCATTTGTTAATACATGAGAAATGCCCACGATCAAAACCTACCTTCTTAAGAATGGTATATATATACAAGAAAGTAGCTTTATTTTGATACCAATAAAATCAAACGAAAAAAGTTAATCATGTCTAATTTTGGTCTCACAAATGTTAATAGTTATTACATCTAAATAAATTCTTCTGAATTTACATTATAACTTTAGAGACAATTGGATGTAATTTCTTAAAGTGGAGTTTTGGCCTTTGCACTGAATTACTTATAAGATATCACTAGTGACAGAATCATTCCATTTCCCTTACGAAGTGAAAATGGATCGAGGCAGCCTGTTTTGAGAATGGTGTTTCTGTAGCTTTCATTGTTTCAGCTTCTGCTAAAACAGTTTAAGCATCATGAGTTTGAACAGCAGGGAAGAGAACTTGAAAACAAATGAATGATGTACTTACATAACTCCGTCTTGAAGTTCCTTGGAAGGATGTCGACTGAAATCAATGGGATTAGAAAAAGTCAAGATAACAGAAAAAATACCACCAATGCTAACATCTCCAAGCTGATGATATGTGTGACGAATAGGAAGAGGCTCATCAAGTTCACATTGAACCCTAGGATCTTTGCATTCCACTTGAGGTATTAATATTAACAATAACGCTATGAAAGCTAACATCTTCCATGAAAGTCATCTTTCTGCGTACAAATGCCCCTGTCTGCAGCATGATCCTTGAATGCCTCCAAGTAGATCAGACTGACCTGACTTCTTCAGATGTTTTTAGACAGAAACAGAGAGTACAACATACTATTGAATCAACTCACAGAGCTTTGGGGCTTCCAGCCATGGGTTGCTATGTCACAGAGAATATTAATAGCATACTTCAGGGTCAGTTCCTCCATTTGCCTTGGAATCCCATGGGTGTGGAAGAGAAAATAAGTAACCAATGTTTAATTATAGCTGAGATAATAACTGACCCAGAGTTCTGAGCTCTTTAGCTGAGAAAAATATATCACAACTCAAAAGAAAACATGCCAGGTTCCCCTGAGACAACAAGCAGTGATCCATAGCAAGGAAATTTGATTAAAATTAGAAAAATCTGCCTAGATGGATGCACGCACCTGAGAGAGAGAGAGAGAGAGAGAGAGAGAGAGAGAGAGAGAGAGGAAGGAACAGTGTATAAAAAGTATAGTTAAAATGTCTTTACTATAGACTTAACTAAAGTCAAGCTTTACTTCTTATAAATACATGGGCACAACTGGGTAATTTTATTTGCAACAAAAGGTTTTAAACTATCTCAGGTCGCAACTAACACAATGGATTTTTAACACATTACAATTGTTGATAAAGTACTTACAGTATCATCTGTCTCAGATTACAATGATTTAGCAGTCGTGACAATGGTATAGATTTATTTGGCATATACTGGTTAGTAACTTCCATGTTTCCAAGGATGTCCGGGTCAAATTGAAATTCCTGTCTCATGCTACTGTGAGAAAAATGAATCTTTGGGTGAAAAAGACAAGTTTTTAGAGGCCTCAGATGAATGGGATTGCTTTAATGAGATTGAAA